ACCCATAATGCCATCTTGGGAAAGGCATCCCCATCTTACTTGGCCAGACCTGTCCCTTGAGAGGCACGCACACAATGAGTGTCTCAGGAGTGGGTCGCTTTCCTTTTGGAGTCTTGTTCTAGTTCTGTCTCGCCTCACAATGCTCTGGAAGACAGAGGATCCCATTGGGCAAGAGTCTAGAATCTTCTGAGAATCTCTAGGCTCAGGCTGGGCAGGGTCTGGGTCTTGGTCTCCCCTCTCCAAGTCAAAAGATACACTGGGCACTGCTGCAGACTCATTCTCAAAATTGGTATACATCATTTTGACATCCCAAGGAAGCATCCCCCAAAGCATAGCTCATCATTTCATCATTTCTGTGAAAATAAAATAGAAATGACACACATTTAGAAGCTTAAAAGTTCACAGTTGCTTTTAAAGAGTGATAATAAAGTTTCAGTGAAGTAGAATGACAGTAACTCTTATACACTTAAAAAAAAAGATTTATTTATTTGAAAAAGTTAGAGAGGCAGCGAGAGAAAGATCTTCCCTCTGCTGGTCCACTCCCCAAATGGCCACAACAGGCAGAGCCGGGCCAATCTGAAGCCAGGAGCTTCTTATGGCTCTCCCATGCAGGTACAGGAGTCCAAGGACTTGGATCACCCTCCACTGTCCTCCCAGGCAGGGGTCGGCACTATGGCATAGCGAATGAAGCCACCACCTGTAGCATCGGCATCCCATATGGGCGCCAGTTCAAGTCCCGGCTGCTCCATTTCCAAGCCAGCTCTCGGCTATGGCCTGGGAAGGCAGTGGAGGGTGGCCCAAGTACTTGGGCCCCTGCTCCCACATAGGAGACCTGAAAGAAGCTTCTGGCTCCTGACTTTGGATCAACACAGCTCTGGGCAGTACAGCCAATTGGGGAGTGAACCAGTGGATGGAAGACCTCTCTTCTCTCTCTCTGCCTCTGCTTCTCTCTGACTTTCAAATAAATAAATCTTAAAAAAAGAAAAGAAATGGAGCAGCCAGGACTTGAACTGGTGCCCATATGGGATGCCGGCACTGCAGGTAGCAGCTTTACCCACTATGCCACAGCACCGGCCCCTATTTATTTTTTAAGAGATTTATGTATTTATTTGAAAGGCAGAGTTACAGAGAGAGGAAGAGACAGAGAGAGAGAGAGAGAGAGAGAGACAGAGAAAGAGAGGAATCTTCCATCAGTTGGTTCACTCCCCAGATGGCCACAATGCCCAGGCCAAAGCCAGAAGCCAGGATCTTTATCTGCGTCTCCCATGTGGCGACAGGGGCCCAACTGCTTGGGCCATCTTCTGCTGCTTTCCAGGTACATTAGCAGGGAGCTGGATCAGAAGCTGAGCAGTGCCCACATGGGATATGCTGACATTGCAGGCATCTGCTTAACCTGCTATTCCACATTGCGGGTCTTTGATTAAGTATTTTTAAAAAATTATAAAATATATTTCCCCAATTACAAAATAAATATGTGCTCAAAGTAGAAACTTGGAAATCATGGGGAATAAAGGTATTTAAAAAAAATCCTTGATTCCACTATTTACATTTTTTAAAAAAGATTTATTTATTTGAGAGGCAGAGTCATAGACAGAGAGAGGGAGAGAGAGAAAGGTCTTCCATCTGCTGGTTCACTCTCCAAATAGCTGCAATGACTGGAGGTAGGCCAATCCAAAGCCAGGAGCCAGGAGCTTCTGCCAGGTCCAAGCACTTGGGCTATATTCTACTGCTTTCCCAAGTCATCAGCAGGGAGCTGGCTCACAAGTAGAGCAGCTAGGACTTAAACTGGTGCTCATATGAGATGCTGGCACCACAGGCGGGGGCTAAACCCACTATACCACAATGCACACCCCCACTATTTACATCTTGGTGTGGGATCTTCCAGTTCCGTTTTATTTGTACCTGTATCTGTGTCTGGTTCTTTTTTTTTTTTTTAAGATTTATTTTATTTATTTGAAAGGTAGAGTTACAGAGAGAGGTGGAGAGAAAGAGAGGTCTTCCATCCTCTGGTTCACTCCCTAAATGGCCACAATAGCTGGAGCTGGACCAATCCAAAGCCAGGAGCCAGAAGCTTGTTCTGGGTCTCCCATGTGGGTACAGGGGCCAAAGACTTGGGCCATCTTCTGCTGTTTTCCCAGGTGCATTAGCAGGTGTTGGATCAGAAGTAGAGCAGCTGGTATTCAGACTGGCACCCATATGAGATGGGGCTTTAATGAGCTGCACCACAGCACCAACCCCTGTGTCTAGTTCTAGTATCTGCATTTAGTTCTTTATAAATTTTTAAGATATATTCATTTATTTATTATTTGAGGGACAAAGAGCTCTCATAAACTGGCTTAATCCCCAAGGCCAACAGGTTCAAAGCCAGAAGCCTGGAACTCAATCCAGGTCTCCCACATGAGTAGCAGGGACCCAACTACTTGAGCCGTCACTGCTGCCTTCCAGGGTGTGCATTAGCAGGAAGCTAGAATTGAAAACAGACTTAAACCCAGTCACTCTGATAAGGGATGTGCAATCCCAAACAGTGTCTTTTTTTTTTTTTTTTAAGATTATTTATTTAGGCCGGCGCCGAGGCTCACTAGGCTAATCCTCCGCCTAGCGGCGCCGGCACACCGGGTTCTAGTCCCAGTCGGGGCGCCGGATTCTGTCCTGGTTGCCCCTCTTCCAGGCCAGCTCTCTGCTGTGGCCAGGAAGTGCAGTGGAGGATGGCCCAGGTGCTTGGGCCCTGCACCCCATGGGAGACCAGGAAAAGCACCTGGCTCCTGGCTCCTGCCATCGGATCAGCGCGGTGCACTGGCCGCAGCGCGCCGGCTGCGGCGGCCATTGGAGGGTGAACCAACGGCAAAGGAAGACCTTTCTCTCTGTCTCTCTCACTGTCCACTCTGCCTGTCAAAAAAAAAAAAAAGATTATTTATTTATTTATTTGACAGGTAGAGTTACAGACAGTGAGAGGGAGAGACAGAGAGAAAGATCTTCCTTCTGTTGGTTCACCCCCAAAATGGCCGCCACGGCCGGAACTACGCCGATCCGAAGCCAGGAGCCAGGTGCCTCCTCCTGGTCTCCCACACAGGTGCAGGCACCCAAGCACCTGGGCCATCCTCCACCACCCTCCTGGGCCACAGCAGAGAGCTGGACTGGAAGAGGACCAACTGGGACTAGAACCGGGCGCTGAAGGCAGAGGATTAGCCAAGTGAGTCATGGCACCGGCCCCCCAAACAATGTCTTAACTACTAAACCAAATGCCTGCCCCACATATTTAGTTGTTTTTAAAGATGATTTTAGACTGGACTATTTGTAGCTTTAAACAAAATCCCTAACAATCCCAATCTTTCCTGTCCCCACTCTCTGGTTCAGTGCTTGTGACCACTTGTGATCACAGTGCAATGTGCTGGGGATGGAAGACCTGCTCTCCTCTTACCTCCTCTTTGCCTTCCTCTTGCCAGAAAGAATAAACATGGCTATAAAATGCTGTGGACAAATCAAATTGTGTATATTTGCTTAGCAACAGTAATTCCTCTCCTGTATTTGCATGGATTAGATCTAATTTGGCACACACACCGGTAGAATTTGTAAGTATAGGCAATTTATAATCATTCAGGACTTGATAATAGCATTTTCACATTATTGAGGTTCCTTGTCTTCTTTTCCTCCATTTATTTATTTATTTATTTATTTATTTATTTTGACAGGCAGAGTTAGACAGTGAGAGAGAGAGAGATGAGAGAAAGGTCTTCCCTCCGTTGGCTCACCCCCCAAATGGCTGCCACGGCTGGCGCACTGCGCCAATCCAAAGCCAGGAGCCAGATGCCTCTTCCTTGTCTCCCATGCGGGTGCAGGTGCCCAAGCACTTGGGCCATCCTCCACTGCCTTCCCGGGCCACAGCAGAGAGCTGGACTGGAAGAGGAGCAACCAGGACAGAATCCGGTGCCCCAGGTTGGAGGATTAGCCAAGTGAGCCGCGGCGCCGGCCTCCTCCTGTTATTTGTAATCTCAATGAGATGAGAAGGCAGGTGAAGTGATGAAACATTTCTACTTACTACTTTACATAATGTGTTTGAAAAAGATGAGCAAAACATGGCTAATTGAAAAGAAAAGTGGCTCATGGTGGTGTTCTACTTTCTTCATACTTTTCCCAAGTGACTAATGTGGGATTAAATATAAGAACTCTAAAAGGATGATGCCAGATTTTTAAAATCTTTTATTTATTGGTGAAGCACCTTTTGAGTCAATCCCCAGATGCCTACAAAGGCCAGAACTGGATCAGGCCAAAGCTGGGAGCTAAGAACTTAATCCAGGTCTCTCATATGGGTAGCAAGAGCCCAATTACTTGAGCCATCACCCCTGACTCCCATTGCCTGCAATAGGAGAAAGTCAAGAACTGGAGCTGGGAAATCAAATCCAGGTACTCTGATGTAGGATATAGGCATCTTAAACACTAGGCCAGGCCGGCGCCGTGGCTCACTAGGCTAATCCTCCACCTTGCGGCGCCGGCACACCGGATTCTAGTCCCGGTCGGGGTGCCGGATTCTGTCCCGGTTGCCCCTCTTCCAGGCCAGCTCTCTGCTATGGCCAGGGAGTGCAGTGGAGGATGGCCCAGGTGCTTGGGCCCTGCACCCCATGGGAGACCAGGAAAAGCACCTGGCTCCTGGCTCCTGCCATCGGATCAGCGCGGTGCGCCGGCTGCAGCGGCGGCCATTGGAGGGTGAACCAACGGCAAAAGGAAGACCTTTCTCTCTCTGTCTCTCTCTCTCACTGTCCACTCTGCCTGTAAAAAAAAAAAAAAAAAAAAAAAAAAAAAAAAAAAAAACACTAGGCCAAACACCTGCCCCAGTACCTATGAATTTTGGTGAAGAATCTTCTACCAGCTATACTTTTGACACAGATGCAAGCCAATCAGTATAAAAACAAACATGTAGGCATCAACTAATGATAGAAAAATAAGATGGCTTATAGGTGAAACAAATGGTTTCTGATCACTAGATAATGTGTAACTTTTTTTTAACTTAAAAAATAATTTGGACCTTGAGCTGGGCGAGCGCTGTGGGCCGAGCAGGGGCTGCAGGGCAGTGGGAGTGCAGACTGAAACAATGCAGGCCACCGGGTCGCTACTCATTTCTCCGGCTATGGTCCGCTGTTGTACCAGGGGCCTACTCAGGTCTGTGTCTGCCTCCTTCCTGAGCAGGCCAGAGGACTTGCCTAAACAGCCTCCCTGCAGTAGCTCCCCACTCCAGGTCGCCCGGCGGGAATTCCAGACCAGCATTGTCTCCTGGGACATCTACACGGCGGCCAAGTTCATCGGTGCTGGGGCCGCCACAGTCGGCGTGGCTGGCTCAGGAGCTGGCATCGGCACAGTGTTTGGCAGCTTGATCATTGGCTACGCCAGGAACCCGTCTCTCAAGCAGCAACTCTTCTCCTATGCCATTCTGGGTTTCGCGCTGTCCAAGGCCATGGGGCTCTTCTGTTTGATGTTCGCCTTCCTCATCCTCTTCGCCATGTGAGGCTCCGTGGGAGTTGCTCACCTGTTCCTGCTGGTTGGACTCCATGCCGATCCTGGTGCTGGAGTGCGCTGAACTTTACCATTAAACGACGTTTCTCTACACCCAAAAAAAAATAATAATAATAATAATTTGAGGGTTCTGTGCTGTGATATACCAGCTAAAGCTGCCGCCAGCAGCACTGGCATCCCATTTGGGTGCCAGTTCAAGTCCTGGCTGCCCTAGTTATTTTTTATTTATTTTTTTAATTTTTTGTTTGTGTGTGTGTGTGTGTGTGTGATTTATTTATTTATTTGAAAGGCAGAGTTGCAGAAAGGCAGAGGCAGAGAGAAAGGTCCTCTATCCACTGGTTCACTCCCCAAATGACTGTAGCGGCTGGAACTGAGCCAATCCAAAGCCAGGAGCCAGGAGCTTCTTCTGGGTCTCCCACACATGTGCAGGGTCCCAAGCACTTGGACCATCTTCTGCTGCTTTCCCAGGCCATAGCGGAGAGCTGGATTAGAAGTGGAGCAGCTGGGACTCGAACTGGCACCCTTGGTTGCTGGCACTGTGGGTGGCAGCTTTTCGCACTACGCCACAGCACTGGCCATCCCAAGTGTCATTTAACCGCTGCAACAAACATCCACCCAGATAATAACATTCTTGATCTGATGACACAAATAATAAATGTCCGGAAATTTTTTAAAGTATTATGGGGGTGGGCACTGTGGCACAGTGGGTTAAGACATTACTTGGGATGCCTACATCCCATATCCGAGTGCCAATTGAATCCCAATTACTCTACTGCTGATCCAGCTTCCAGGAAGACAACAGAGAATGGCTCAAGTACTTGGGTCTGTACCACCCACATGTGAGATCTGGATAGAGTCTGGGCTCTTCGTTTCAGCATGGCCGATTGTTGAGGGCATTTGGGGAGTGAACCAGCAGATGAAAGATCTACCTATGATCTCTCTTCCTCTTCCTCTTCCTCTCCCTCTTTGACTCTATCTCTATCTCTATCTTTCTCTGTCATTTGGCTTTTAAAATAAAATAAATCTTAAAAAAAAATTACCAAGAAATAAATGCAATAAGTACTATTGTGATTTTCCTTCCGTGTGTACATGTATGTTTACTCCTCCCATGTTTGTGTTTATTTTTGTTATAAAATTGCATACACAAATTTTTCCTACTGTTTAAACACATTATATTATGAGAACTATATTCCATGTTACTTGTCTCTTGAGAACATATTTAATGCTGAAAATAATTCAACAAATCTGTCCATCAAAATTTATTAACTTTTAAATTATTTTTGGACTTGTAGGCTGTCCATCAGTCAGTATCCTTCAGAAAAACAAAATAGTAGTAATGTATATATGCATACATAAAGGGAGATACAGTTCAGAAATTGGTTCATCCAATTGTGAGACTGGCAAACCCAAAATCTGTAGGGTAGTTTGGAAATTCTCTAGCAAGAGCTGATATTGTGGGGCTGGCACTGTGGCATAGCAGGTAAAGCTGCCACCTACAGTGCGGGCTCCCATATGGCTGTCCCACTTCTGATCCAGCTCTCTGCTATGGCCTGGGAAAGCAGTGGAAGATGGTCCAAGTCCTTGGGCCCCTGCACCCATATGGGAGACCTGGAAGAAGTTCCTGGCTCCTGGCTTCAGATTGGCTCAACTCTGGCCATTGCAGCCATTTGGGGAATGAACCAGTGGATGGAAGACTTCTCTCTCCCTCTCTCTGCCTCTGCCTTTCTAATAAATAAATCATTTTTTAAAAGTTGTTATTGCATTTTTAAAAGATCTATTTATTTGAAAGAGTTACAGAGATGAAGAGACAGAAAGAGGGAAATCTTCCATCAGCTGCTCTGCTCCCCAGATGGCTGCAGTTGCTAGGTCTGAGCCAGGCTGAAGCTAGGAGCCAGGAGCTGCATCCGGGACATCCACATGGGTGGCAGGGACCCAAACACCTGGGCCACCTCCCACTGCCTTTCCCAGGCTATTTGCAAGGAGCTGGATCAGTAGCAGAGCAACCAGGACATGAACTGGTGCCCATTTGGGATGCCAGCATCGCCATGGCAGCTCTACCCACTATGCCACAACACCGGCCCCCTGACATCTTAAGACCGAATTTCTTCTTTCTCAGGAAAACCTATTTTCCTTTTAAGGTCTTTCATTTGATGGGATAAGCCCCAGTTACATGATCGAGGATAATTTCCTTCATGGAATATTTCTCACCTCTACAAAGTTCCTTCACAACAACACCTACATAAGCATTTGATTAAATAACTAGCACTACTATATAAGCAAACCAATACATGAAACTGATCATCCCAGACCATCCCTTAGAACTTGGCATCTATACATATCTTCTTAAACTTTACTTAATCTCCAAGTGAGGAAAATAAGAAAATTGTACTTAACACACAGTACGATATAAGTAGCCTTATTTTTTTTAGATTTATTTATTTATTTGAAAGTCAGAGTTACAGAGGAAGAGAGAGAGAGAGAGAGAAAGAGAAGTCTTCCATGTAGGGAGCAACTCGGACTAGACTAAGTTACTGGAATTAAGACTTATTCTATGCATCTGCTTTCCCACAATATGGCGCTGAGAAGGGAAACAGCTTCTATACAGCTGCCTCCAGTTCAACCAATAAACTGTAGGACTTGCTCCTGATTGGAGGAGAGCAGCGTACTCGGCGTGTGGGTAGCAGAGTTGGGATTGGCGGAAGAGGACTATAAAGGAGGAGAGAGACAACATGCACCAGGAACATCTAGGGGAACATCTATTTGAAGGAACACCTGTGCAGCCCCCGAGAGAGCCGGCCGGCGGTGTGCCGCTCCCCCGCGGAAGTGGGGAAAGTGGCCAGGGGGAATCGCCCTTCCACGGAGGTGGAAGGGATGGTAGCCAACCCGGGAAGAACCAGCAGCAAACCCGGGGAGGGCCGAGCAGACAGAAGAACACCGCAGGGTCCTGTGTCGTTCCCCCACAAAGACGGGGAGCGACATAATGGTGCCGTGACTCGGATATGAAGCCTAGGCAGGGTTTAGTGTCGTTCCTCCATGAAGAGGGGGAGTGACATAATGGGGCCGTGACTCGGACAGGAAACCTAGGAGTGAAGAAACGGGAAGAAGTGGAAAATACCGGAGAGAGAGACTAGCAAAGAGCCTAGGGGAAAGCCGGACGGAAAAGGTGCCGGAAGAAGCTATCGAAAGCCTAGGCATAGACTCGGATATGGACTGTGGGAAAGAAGTTAGGATTTAAAGTGAAAGCAAGAAGAAACTTAGACTTAGATATGGACTGCAGGTTGAAAGTGAAAGTGAAACCTAGAAGAAACTTAGACTCGGATGCGGACTATGGCAGGGAAGCTAGGAGATTGAAAGCGAAAGTGAAAGCTAGAACAAACAGACTTGGATACGGACTGTGGGGAGAAGCCAGGAGAAATGAGGGAGGAATATTGTTGGAAGAAAACTTAGGGAAACATACCGGGTAGAGAAAAATGTTAGGGAAATTGAAGCTGCGGGGGCAGGCCGAGGCGGAAACGTAAGCCAGCTTGGAATTCTTTAAGTCAGCCCGGGGAGCAAAAGGCGAAAAGTTAAACCAGAGGCGGAAACGTGGGCCAGGTTGGAATCCGTCAGATTAGCCCGGGGAGCAAAAGACGGGAAGCCAAACCATAAGGCGGAAACGTAAGCTATAGGTTGAATTCCCCAGGTTAGCCCGGGGAACTTCGATTGAATGCTAGTGGCGGAAACGTAAGCTACGCTGTGTGATTCGCGGAAGCCGCCGCGTGCAGAGAGAGCAGGGAGCGTGAATAGATAGGGAACGCGGGGCTGGCGCAAGGCCGTGGTGCGGGCGCAAAGGGCGTGGAGACCACGGAGTGTGCGCGCGAAGCCAAGCCGCGCAGAGCCGGGAAGCCGCGCAGATGAGAGAAACAGAAGTTTAGAAGTAAAATGAGAGAAATAGGAATGCTGGTAGATAGAAATAAAATAGGAGAAATAGGAATGCCCGGAGATAGAGAAATAGAGAAAAATAAGGCCTCCCCACAACACGCACGGCAATGAGAAGGCTTGGATTCGGTCTGCCTGATTAGTAAGGCGATAAGCACCAGCAGGCAGCTCGACCAGAGTATGAGCTGCAGGTCACCGAAGATAGGCACGAACCAACACCAATAAGTCTCCCCACAAGACGGCAATGAGAGGGCTTGGATTCGGTTTGCCTGATAGGGCTTGTAAGCACCTGCAGGCAGTTCTAGCAGAGCAGAGCATGCGCTGCAGGGCACCAAACACAGGCACGCATCAGCGCCTAGAAACCTCCTCACAACATGGCGAAGAGAGGACCCGGATTTGGTTTGCCTGATTGGTAGGCTTGTAAGCACCTGTGGGCAACTCTAGCGAACAGAGCAGAGTGTGTGCCGCGGGGCACCGAAGACAGGCGCGTATCAACGCCAAAAATAAAAAGAAAGGGGGATCTGTGGGGAGCAACTCGGACTAGACTAAGTTACTGGAATTAAGACTTATTCTATGCATCTGCTTTCCCACAATATGGCGCTGAGAAGGGAAACAGCTTCTATACAGCTGCCTCCAGTTCAACCAATAAACTGTAGGACTTGCTCCTGATTGGAGGAGAGCAGCGTACTCGGCGTGTGGGTAGCAGAGTTGGGATTGGTGGAAGAGGACTATAAAGGAGGAGAGAGACAACATGCACCAGGAACATCTAGGGGAACATCTATTTGAAGGAACACCTGTGCAGCCCCCGAGAGAGCCGGCCGGCGGTGTGCCGCTCCCCCGTGGAAGTGGGGAAAGTGGCCAGGGGGAACCGCCCTTCCACGGAGGTGGAAGGGATGGTAGCCAACCCGGGAAGAACCAGCAGCAAACCCGGGGAGGGCCGAGCAGACAGAACAACGCAGGGTCTTGTGTCGTTCCTCCACGAAGACGGGGAGCGACACTTCCATCTGCTGGTTCGCTCTCCAACGGCCAGAGCTGCACCAATCCGACGCCAGGAGCCAGGAGCTTTTTCTGGGTCTCCCACATGGGTGCAGGGGCCCAAGCACTTGGGCTGTCTTCTGCTTTCCTGGTCAATAGCAGAGAGCTAGTGGTTAGAGAAGTAGAGCAGCTGGGACTCGAACCAGCATCCATATGGGATGCTGGCACTGCAGGCAGTGGCTTTACCCGCTATGTCACAGCGCCAGCCCTGATATAAATATCCTGAGATCACAAAATTCTTAGAATATTTGTGATATCCTATAATTTCAATACTGTGATATAAATTTAACTGGTATTAATATATTTTATGTTGTATGATAAGCAGATAAGAGTGTGAAGAAAACAGACATTTGATATATACACCTATTCATAAATAAAGAAGGAATATTAATAATATATCCTATTTCTCATCTCTGCAACTGGTCAAGTGGTCGTAGCTGATAGTTCCTTTCTCTACCCATTCCATATTTCCTTTGCAGTCAGCAAGCAGCTCAATTGGTCATGGCTCTTAGCCTGATAGAGTGAGCTAACATTTTCTTCCTGGAGATAAGTATTCCTGTCGGGATTGGGTTGTTGTGGTTTTCTATTGACTTTATTCACAGGGCTTGGTACACTGAGTGAAACCCGATGGGATCTCCTGTATTCTAGACGTACTCTTTCTTATCTGTGTTGTACAGTCAGCAAAGCAGCCCAGTTTGCCCTGAGTAATCAGGAGCAATCACCTGAGCCAGTACAATGACTCCTCCTATGCTTGTTGATTCAGAGGCATGAGGAGCCCAAAGTAGACATGTGACAGTCTTAACTTCCAGCTCAATGGGATCATTGTCATCTCACTAATGAAAGCATTCTTCCCTATGGAATTAAACTTCTAGCAGACAGAACAGAAGGTCATGGGAAGAAGAAGCAAACATTTTTCTAGTGGCTCATTAGGAGTGTCATTCTCATTTCCACCCCTTGATTCCTGGACCTGTTCATTCTTGCTGTTGGAGAAATAGCGCCATATACTGAAAGCTGGTTTGGAGCACATACAGCCTCCTGGGGAAATCCGTGCACATCTCTGAGTTCAAGGGATAAATTTACAGAATTGTGAGTGCTAAGTCAGTGGATATAAGCTTTTTTTTTTTTCTTAAGCAACAGCAAAGTTTCTCTCTCTCTCTTTTTAAAGATTGATTTATTTGAAAGGCAGAGTTACAGAGAGAGAAAGAGACAGAGACAGAGAGATCCATTCACTGCTTCACTCTCCAAATGACCACAGTGGTTGGAGCTGGGTGGATCCGAAGCCAGGAGCTTCCTCAAGGTCTCCCACATGGGTGCAGGGGCCCAAGTACTTGGGCCATCATCTACTGCTTTCCCAGGCACATTAGCAGGGAGCTGGATCAGAAGTGGAGCAGCTGGGACTCGAACCGGCACCCATATGGGATGCTGGTGCTGTAGGCGCTATGCCACAACACCAGCCCCATGGATACAAGCATTTTTAAAGTGCTTGGTAGCTTATGCTCAACTGCCCTCCAGGAAGGTTGTGTCAGCAGCATGAACACTGTCTATCTCAACACACTGGTATCAATACTGCTACTGAATATTGTCATTGTCAGCTACTTTGGATAAACTTTGCCCAGAAAAGCTTCCTGTTGAGGAAGTGAATCAGATGTCTTACAGCCACCATGTGCCAGGTTTTCTTAGGCATTGTACATTGATAGGAAGCAACTGAGAAGAAAAACCAAGTACTGACTAGGAGGTTATTGCAGTCATGATGAAAGAGGCTTTCAAAGAGGTTACTTCATCATTTACTTATCATCATCCCTCCATCCTCACTAGAATAGACCGTGCTGAGGCTGACATTGTAGTGCGGCAGGTGAAGTTGTCACTTGCAATGCCAGCATCCCGCCTGGGTGCTGGTTCATGTCCGAGCTGCTCCATTTTCAATCCAGCTCCCTGCTAATGGCTTGGGAAAAGCAGTAGAAGATGGCTCAAGTATTTGGGACCCTGTCACCCACATGGGAGACCTGGAAGAAGCTCCAGGCTCCTAGCTTCAGCCTGGCCCAGCCCTGGCAGTTGCAGCCATTTGGGGAATGAACCAGCAGATGGAAGATTCTCTTTCTCTGTGTGTGTGTGTGTGTGTGTGTGTGTGCACGCGCGCGTGTGTGCGTGTCCCTTTCTGACTTTCTAATAAGTAAACAAATCTTAAAAAAAAAAAAATTGACAGTACCCAATCTGTTTGCTCTTGGCTAATTTAAAAAGTATACAAAAACTAGCTTTGTGATTGAAAATTCTCATTTGACAGAGAAAAGAACCAGTTTGTGATGAACTGGCAGTTCATGTTCACATAGAAGTGTAGAATGGAGTAAAATATTGGAACAGTCCAGTGAATGAACAGAGTACTGGAATTGAGATAAGGACCATTTCTGTGTATTTACCTAGTTGATAAGGTAGTTTAAGTTTTATTTATTTGAAAGGCAGAGTGGCCGGCGCCGTGGCTCAATAGGCTAATCCTCCGCCTTGCGGCGCCGGCACACCGGGTTCTAGTCCCGGTCGGGGCGCCGGATTCTGTCCCGGTTGCCCCTCTTCCAGGCCAGCTCTCTGCTGTGGCCAGGGAATGCAGTGGAGGATGGCCCAGGTGCTTGGGCCCTGCACCCCATGGGAGACCAGGATAAGTACCTGGCTCCTGCCATCGGATCAGCGTGGTGCACCGGCCGCAGCACGGCAGCTGCGGCGGCCATTGGAGGGTGAACCAACGGCAAAGGAAGACCTTTCTCTCTGTCTCTCTCTCTCACTGTCCACTCTGCCTGTCAAAAATTAAACAGAAAAAAAAAAAAACAGAAAGGCAGAGTGACAGAGAACCATATACACACAGATATCGTCCATTTGCATATCTGCAGGTTCATTTCCCAAATTCCCACAACAGCCAAGGCTGGGCCTGGCCAAACCCAGGAGCCCAGAACTCTATCTGGATCTCCAACATGGGTGGCAGGGACTCAAGCACTTGAGCTGTCACCTGCTGCCCCCTGGGGTGTACATTAGCAGCAAGGAGGATCAGAAGCAGAGGAGCTGGGAGTCAACCTAGACACTCCAAAATGGGATGCAAGTGTTCCAAGTCACTACCCAGCTTGCCTTGTGTCAAGTGCCCTCCCTGATTAGATCATTCTTAAAACGTAGAACACAAGGATCTGGAAGTAGGAGCAGCAACATAGAACACAAGGATCTTGAAGTAGGAGCAGCAAGTAGGAAGTCTGCTTACAGAAAGTCACATGAAAGTGTCGTATTCGGGGCCGGCGCTGTGGCTCACTTGGCTAATCCTCCACCTGCGGCGCCGGCATCCCATATGGGCACCGGGTTTTAGTCCTGGTTGCTCCTCTTCCAGTCCAGTTCTCTGCTGCGGCCCAGGAAGGCAGTGGAGGATGGCCCAAGTGCTTGGGCCCTGCACCTGCATGGGAGACGAGGAAGAACCACCTGGCTCCTGGCTTCGGATCGGCATAGCTCCGGCTGTAGCGGCCATTTGGGGGGTGAACCAACGGAAGGAAGACCTTTCTCTCTGTCTCTCCCTCTCACTGTCTGTAACTCTAGCTCTCAAATAAATAAATAAATAATCTTTAAAAAGTGTCCTGTTCAACATTTTAACATTGTATGAATTTCTGATAATAGTAATGATTAATTTTTAATGATAATGGTATTGTGTTTTTTTAAAGACATGCATAACAAAACAGTACTATATGTAATGTTTGAAAGAAAGAAGGAAGAGACGTAGATGAAACAAGATTGGCTGGGAGTTAATCGTCGGTGAAGGCGGGTGAATGGTACAAGGAATTCATCACACTAATCTCCTTTTTGTACACATTTAAAACTTTTCAAAATAAATAACTTAGAAATAATCCAACGAAGGAAAATAAATACCCCAACCAAGTAGGAGGCTGGAAACAGAATCAATGCTTAAAACCAGGAGCTGAGAGGAGGTGAGGCAGCTGAAACAAGCTGCCTCCCTCTGCTGCTGGCACTCCTGTTTTTGGAACTCTACATATCCAGGAACCAGGAAGACACAGACGTGACCACACAACCAGTTACCTATGCTAAACATGTGTAGCTCTGACTAGATTCACAGCAACTCTTGATAAGGAGAGAGTTAAAGCAATGAGAAAGTAAAATAAATCAAAACAGCAAAATTTCCAACTCATCAAATTTCCTAAACTCATTAAAATAGAAAAGACATCCCTCATCACCTAAAGTTCCATAATCAGTGAAGTAAGACGCTGCAGATAAATGAAACTAAAAGGACAATCTTTAAAATATTTTTACATAAGTTTGCTTTGAACAAAGGGAGAATAAAAAATTAAATAGGGGGCGGGTGTTGATGTGCAGTGGGACATGTGCCTCCCACACTGGAGTGTCTGGTTTGAATCTTCATTACTCCACACTTCCCTATCCAGCCTCCTGCTAATGCACTTGAGAGGCAGAGGATCATGGTCCAAGTACTTGGATTATTGCCGCCCACACAGGAATCCTGGATTGAGTTCCTGACTCCTGGCTTCAGCCTGGCCCAGTTCAGGCTGTTATCAGCATCTGGGGAGTGAACCAGTGAATAGAAGATCCACCCCCCACACACATTTAAATAAATGGATTTTTAAAGAAGATTTTTTTAACTTTTTTTTTTTTGACAGGCAGAGCGGACAGTGAGAGAGAGACATTGAGAAAGGTCTTCCTTTGCCATTGGTTCACCCTCCAATGGCCGCCACGGCCGGCACGCTGTGGCCGGCGCATTGCGCTGATCCGAAGCCAGGAGCCAGGTGCTTCTCCTGGTCTCCCCTGTGGGTGCAGGGCCCAAGGACTTGGGCCATCCTCCACTGCACTCCCGGGCCATAGCAGAGAGCTGGACTGGAAGAGGGGCAACCGGGACAGAATGTGGTGCCCCAACCTGGACTAGAACCCTGTGTGCTGGCGCCAAAAGATTTATTCATTTATTTGAAAGGCAGAGTTACAGAGAGGCAGAGAGAGAGAGAGGTCTTCCATCTGCAGGTCCACTTGCCAAATAGCTGCAATGGCCAGAGCTAGGCCGAAGCCAGGGACCAGGAGCTTCTTCTGGTTCTTCCACGTGGGTGCAGGGGCCATCTTCTACAGCACTGATTTCTTAGTTTTGATGAATGTATTATGGCTATATTAAGATGTTAACACTAAAGAAATCTGGGCAAAGCATATGTAAAGACTTGCTATACTATCTTTGTAACTCTGGTAATTCTAAAATTATTTCAAAATGAGAGGTTTTTAAAAATAAAAATAAATGGGGGCTGGCTCTGTGGCATAGCAGGTAAAGCTGCTGCTTGCAGTGCTGGCATTCCGTATATGCTCCCGTTCAAGTCCTGGCTGCTCTTCTTCTGATCCAGTTCCCTGCTAATGTGCCTGGGAAAGCAGTAGATGATGGCCCAAATCCTTGTGCCCCTACACCAGCATGGGAGACCCGGAAGAAGCTCCTGGCTCCTGGCTCCAGATTGGCCCAGCTCTGGCTGTTGTGGTCATTTGGGGAGTGAACCAGAGGATGGAAGATCTCTTTCTCTCTCTCTCTCTGCCTCAGCTTCTCTGTAACTCTACCTTTCAAACAAATAAATTAATCTTAAAATGACTCAATTAGAATTCGTGAAGCAAATTTCATAAAACAAAAAAGTATAGTACTTTGTTGAAAGATGGCATAGCCCTCAATAAACCAGACATATGATTTTTAAAAATTATTTTATTTATTTGAAAGACAGAGTTATAGAGAGAAGTAGAGCCAGAGAGAGAGAGAGGTCCTCCATTCCGCTGGTTCACTACCCAAATGACCGCAATGGCCAGAGCTGAGCTGATCCGAAGCCAGGGGCCAGGAGCCTCTTCCAGGTCTCCCATGCGGGTGCAGGGGCCCAAGGACTTGGGTCATCTCCCAGTGCCTTCCCAGGCCACAGCAGAGAGCTGGATCAGAAGGGGAGCAGCCAGGACTTGAACTGGCACTCACATAGGATGCTGGCATTGCAGGCTGGGGCTTTAACCCACTGCGCCACAGTCCCGGCCCCAAGATATATGATTTTTTAAAAATATTTACTTATTTATTTGAAAGGCAGAGTGACAGAGATTAAGAGAGGGAGAGAGGGAGAGAGAGAGAGAGAGAGAGAGAGAGAGAGAGAGAGAGAAAATCGTCTATCCTTTGATTCACTCCCCAAATGGCCACAAGAGCAAGGTCTGCACCAAGCCTGAGCCAGGAGCCTGGAACTCTATCCTATACTCCCATGTGGGTGGCAGGGACCCAAGTACTTGGGCCATCTTCCTCTGCTTTCCCAGGCACATTAGCAGGGAGCTGGACTGAAGGCAGAGCAGTTAAAACTCAAACCGGTACTCCCACATGGAGTGCCTAGTGTAGTTAAGCAGCAGCCACAATGCTGGCCCCAACACACAATCTTACGTGGACACAATCAGAGAGAAACTTAACAAACTAGAAGATGGTTCTGAAGAAGTCACTTAGAGTATAGCTTTAAAAGGTAGAGATTAAGAATAGCAAAAGGCATAGTAGGATCGGGGTGGCACTGGTGAAAGTGGCCGGCACCGCAGCTCAATAGGCAAATCCTCCGCCTGCGGCGCCGGCACTCCAGGTTCTAGTCCTGGTTGGGGCGCCGGTCCTGTCCTGGTTGTTCCTCTTCCAGTCCAGCTCTCTGCTGTGGCCCAGGAGGGTAGTGGAGGATGGCCCAAGTGCTTGGGCCCTGCACCTGCATGGAAGACCAGGAGGAGGCACCTGGCTCCTGGCTTCAGATCAGCACAGCCTGCCGGCCATAGTGGCCATTTGAAGGGTGAACCAACGGAAAAGGAAGACCTTTCTCTCTCTCTCTCTCTCTCTCTCTCTCTCTCTCTGTCTAACTCTGCCTGTCAAAAAAAAAAAAAAAAAAAGTAGCAGTTCTATCCCTGCACAGGAACACCAAAAAATCTGGCAAAACCTGGCAGAATCAACCTTGCTGGAACTCTAGCAGATAGTCAAAACTTTACAGCAACGAAGCAGATACTTAGCCAGCAGGAAGGCTACTGAAAACTAGCAGGAAAGCTTTGTGGTCTTTTAATTTACTGTAGCCCCTCCTAGTCTCAGTGGAGCCGTGGTCTCAAAACTGGCAGCCTGTATCTTGTTCTCAAGGAAGAGTGTTTATCTTTTGGACCTGCGTGGGGTTTTCCAGGAGGACTTCCAGAGCAGAGAATTGCCTCGAATAACCCCGGAAGACAAGTAAACAGATTGCTGCTGGCTGGTTAAAAAATTAAATAACAACTGAGGCAAACAACAGACAAGCTGAAAGCTTGAAAAGGAAATTCAGACAGTGAGATTCAGAGCAAATAAAGGCTTTGAAATGTTCATGTGATTTTAATTTTCATTTATTTATTTATTTGAGAGGCAGAGAGGAGAAAGAGACTCCATTCACTGGTTCACTCCCCAGATGGCTACCTCATCAAGGGTGCACTGGACTGCAACTTAATCTGGGTCTCCCCAAGCCACTGGAGCCATCACCACTGCTTTCCAGAATACGCATTGGCAGGAAGCTAGAATGGGCAGCAGAGCAGAGTCTTGAATCCAGGCACTCTAATCAGAGAATACAGGCATCTTTATTTAATTACTTGAGAGGCAGAGTTATAGACAGGGAGAGACAGAGAGAAAGGGCTTCATCCACTGTTTCATTCCCCAAATGGCCACAGTGGCTGGAGCTGAGCCAATTTGAAGCCACTACACAGGCATCTTAACCAGTGTCTTTTTTTTTTTTTTTTTTTTGCCAGGCAGAGTTAGACAGTGAGAGAAACAGAGAGAGTTATAGACAGTGAAAGAGAGACAGAGAGAAAGGTCTTCCTTCCGTTGGATCACTCACCTAATGGCCACCATGGCCAGCACTGCGCCGATCCGAAGCCAAGAGCCAGGAGCCAGGGCCTCCTCCTGGTCTTCCATGCAGGTGCAGATGCCCAAGCACTTGGACCATCCTCCGCTGCCCTTCCGGGGCACAGCAGAGAGCTGGACTGGAAGGGGAGCAATCGGGACTAGTACCGGTGCCCCAACTGGGACCAGAATCTGGGGTGCTGGCGCCGCAGGTGGAGGATTAGCCAAGTGAGCCATGGCGCCTGCCAACCAGTGTATTGACAGCTATTCTGAACCCCTGCTCCAGGTTCCTG